GCTGGAGTGACCTATGATAGCACCACTACGCTCTAGCATAGGGAAACAGAAAAAGACTCTGTCTCTTAAAAAAAAAAAAAAAAAAACATTTATTCTTTAATGACATTTATTCTACTTGAGCTACATCAATATAAAAATGAGCAATATGTTTAAGTAATTTCAAAACTGTGCTATTTTCACACAGCCTTAAGTGGTTACAACTATATCTAGGTTCTGAGTTTTAAGGTTCCCACAATATGATTTATGCCTGTATAGGTAAAAGCTAAGAAGACCAAGTCCTAGAGAGCTAGAATTTATAAAATTTTAGTATGTTTTTGATAAACTTGATTTGAAGTAAAAACCTTAAAATAAGTTTTCTAATTACTGTATGAATGTATTCTTACAGAGACCCTTTCATACTACATAACAATGAAATACTTGTTGCTTTCCTACCTCAAAGAAAAAGAAGGTAACTCTAGAAGAAAAAGTAATTACTTCTGGAAATCATATAATTAGAAAAAATGTGGCTGCATTTAAAGTTTTCATAAGTTAACAAAATAGAAATTGCCTATAAATGTACAAACATAACTACAAAGTCACTATATGTAGCAGAAACATACATATCAAAGCCAAAACTATTTCCAATTAGCCATTTTAAAATCTGGGGCAACTTGGAAATTAAATGTAACTTAGGCTAGAACATTTCATTTCCCAGGTCACTGCCAATGATTTCAATTTAAAATTAATTACAAGAAGGAAACAAGTCTGGCTACTTTTTAATGAATACTAACCTCAACTTAATTATACATTGATTCAACTCAGCTCCCACATTTAGAATAAGTTTTAACTAGGAAGATAGCATACCATAATAGTCAAATACCAGCAAAGTAATGGAATGAAAATAAAACCTACTTCATGAGTTACTATAAAGAGATCATTATTAATCTATTGTTTCTCACCTAATCAAGGATTTCACTTATGCAAACTTCCCCTCTTGTCCCTGTATCAATTTTTCTTCTCTACTTAATCATTTCATGAATCTTACAAACACTTTAAAATCTCCCAAGTGAAATAAAAATCCTTCCCTAGAAAGGGCAACCCTCATACATTCGGTTGGTGGGAAGGTAAATTGATGCAACCACTATGGAGAACAGTATGGAAGTTCCTCAAAAAACTAACAATAGAACTACCATATGACCCAGCAATCCCACTTCTGGGTATATATCCAAAGGATAGGAATTCAGTATATCGAAAAGATATCTGCGTTCCCATGTTTATCATAGCACTATTCACAATAGCCAAGAGATGGAATCAACCTAAGTGTCCATCAACGGATGAATGGATAAAGAAATTGTGGAACGTCCAGGCGCGGTGGCTCACGCCTGTAATCCTAGCACTCTGAGAGGGTGAGGCGGGTGGATTGTTTGAGCTCAGGAGTTCGAGACCAGCCTGAGCAAGAGCGAGACCCCGTCTCTACTAAAAATAGAAAAAATTAGCCGGGCATGGTGGTGCATGCCTGTAGTCCCAGCTACTCGGGAGGCTGAGGCAGTAGGATCGCTTGAGCCCAGGAGTTTGAGGTTGCTGTGAGCTAGGATGACGTCACAGCACTCACTCTAGCCCGGGCAACAGAGTGAGACTCTGTCTCAAAAAAAAAAAAAGGAAATTGTGGTACATATATACAATGGAATAATAGCCACAAAGAGAATGAAATCCTGCCATTTAAAACAACATGGATGGAACTGGAGAACATTATGTTAAGTGAAATAAGCAAGCACAAAAAGACAAATCTCACACATTCTCTCTCATATGTGGGAGCTAAATATTAAAACAACTGATCTCATGGAGACAGAGAGTAGAATGATGGTTACCAAAGGACAGGAAGGGTAGCGGGGAGAAGGGGAATAAACTAGGGATGGTTAATGGGTTCAAAAACATAGATAGTTAGAATGAATAATATTTGATAGCACAACAAAATGACTACAATCAACAATAAGTTAGCATATACTTTAAAATAACCGAAAAGAGTAGAATTGGAATGTTCCTAACACAAAGAAATGTTAAACACCTGAGGTGATGGATACCCTAACTACCCAGATTTGATTAATTCACACTGTATGCCTGTGATCAAAACATCACATGTATCCTATAAAGATATACATCTATTATGTACCCATAATAGATCTAAAATTGTTAGATACTCCCCAATAACTTCCCATATAGATATTGCCCTATTTCACTGGAAAATTTCTCAAAAAACTATCTATACTTACTGTCTTCATTTCCCTCATTTCCTGAATCCACTCCAATAATGTTTTCATTCCCACCACTCTACAGAAATCTTTCTTATCAAGGTCACCACTGACCGCCACATTGCCTAATCCAATTATCAATTCTCAGTCCTCACTGTATTTGACTTATTGGCAGCATTTGACAGTTAATCAATTTCTCCTCCCTGACACATTTTTCATCCTTTGGCCTCCCACAGACCCCACTAACTCTTGGTTTTCCTCCTTCCTCACTTGTCCTCCTTCGTGTCTTCTTTGCAAATGATCATCCTCCCTCTGACTTCTAAAAAGGTGGTTTGCCCAAGGGTTTAGCCCTTGAAACTCTTCTCCTGTCTACCTTTATTTTATTCTGTAGGCAACCACACCCTGTTTAGACTTTAAGCATGAGATAGATAGATAGATAGATATAGACACACACCAATAAAGCCCATATTTCTATCTCAAGTCTAGCACCTCTTCCCCGTACTCCAGAGATTCGTATATCCATCCAGCTGCCCACTTGAAATCTCCATTTGGATATCTACAAAGCATCTCAACATGAACAAGATCAAAACCACACCCTAGATTCCACATAAACACTTCAAAATCTACTCCACACTTCACTCATCTTCCCCTTATCATTATATAAAGGTAATTCCATCCTTCCAATTTCACAAGCCAAAATTTAAAAAGAATCATCCTTAACTCTTCTTTTCCCTATCTTATTGGTCCAACCATTGAAACATATCTAGAACACACTGCTTCTCATCACCTCAACCTCAAGTCCCCAGTCCAAGCCACTATATCATCTCTTTTCTGAAACACTGTAAAAATAAGCCTACTAAACCGGACCCTGTTCCCACAAAATATAATGTCCATACAGCGACTAGAGTAATCCTTTTCAAACCTAAGTCAGATTATATCCCTCTACTGCTCAAAACTTAACATGACTTACCACACCACCCAGAATAAAAACTGAAATCCTTATGACAGCCTACAAAGCCTTCTACCGCCTGTCTCATCTACTACTCTTCCCCTTGTACATGTCACTCCAGCTGCACTGGCCTCCTTGCTTTTCCTCAAACACTAAGCATACTCCTGCCCCAGGGAGTATGCTTAGTTCCTCAACCTGAAACCCTCTGGCCCTGTGTATGCACACCCCTTACTCTCTCACATCTTTCAGATGCAAATGTTACTTTACCAGGAAGTCTTTTCTTACTATCCTATATGAAATAGCAACTCCCTACCCGTATTATCACTCAGTCCTCTATCTGCTTTATTTTTCTTAGCACCCATCAGCACCTGGCACAGAATATAATAATTTAATTGTTTACTGCCCATCTTCCCTAAGTACCAAAATGCAAATACCACAAGAATAATAATTTTGATTTATTCAAAAAGCAGCACTAAGAAGAGCACCCAGCCTTTACCTGGCACATATTTGCTGAATGACTAAATAAATAATAGCAAATCATTTTGCTGAAAGTTTTATAAAGATTGGCATATTTAATCTTTTTATTAAAAATGGTACTAAAAATTTCATCTCATCTTTACCAACAATGAGATGAAGGTATAAGAGATAAAATAACTTGCATGTCACATGGCTTGTAAGTGATGAACTCAGGCTCCTGCACCTACTAAATGAGATGAAATTGTATCATACAAATGAGGTATTTAACAAAATACTTGGCACATAACATACCTACAATTAATAGAATACTTCTTATTGTCAAACATTAATCTAGGCTATGTTTATTTACTCATTTAATTTTCATATTGATTATTTAATAAGTGGTATTATCATCACTATTTATTATTTATCAGAGCACCAACCTTAACCAAAAAGAAGTCACATATAAGATGCTGTGAAAGGAATGGCACAGACTCCCCAACTTTACTCTTCTCATAAAAATGTTAACATGTCCTTATTAACACAGTATGTTTTGAAGGTTAGCACTAGAAACCAATTCAAAATTAACTAAATTCACATCATTCAGAGACACACATCATTAACTGTGTATACACTGGCTTGTAGTTCTAAAAAGCAAACAAACCCTAATTTTAAAAGAGAAAAAAACCAGATTTTCTCAATTAAAAAAAAAATCTACCCTTCCCCAAATGTTTGCTCCTCCACATTGTACCACATTATGCTTAATATATCTTTTTCATTGTAAGTTAAAAATTATCTGGATTACACCAAGTTTACCTAATGTAAACAATCTTTTTTTTTTTTTTTTTTGAGACACAGTCTCACTCTGTTGCCTGGGCTAGAGTGCAGTGGCATCATCATAGCTCACTGCAACCTCAAACTCCTGGGCTCAAGCAATCCTCCTATCTCAGCTTCCTGAGTAGCTGAGACTACAGGTGTGCACCACCATGCCCAGCTAATTTTTTCCATTTTTGGTAGAGACAGGGTCTTGCCCTTGCTCAGGCTTGGTCTCAAACTCCTCACCTCAAGATCCTCCCGCCTCGGTCTCCCAGAGTGCTAGGATTACAGGCATAAGCCACCGACCCCAAGCCCAAACCTCTTCTTGAAAGGTCACTTTTATTGCCAAAAATAAATTTCGAAATTACTGCATAATAGGAAATAAAGTGGCCAATTCCTTTATCCTTTAGTTAAAGTGAAAATTACTGAATGCAATTTCTTCAGCTCAATATAACATTTAGTTTTTAATTTTTGGTTCGACCTATAGATACTCATTTTTTTATTAATAATAAACATATGAAAGATTTTAGGTAAAGACTTTTAAAACTTACGGTGCAATAATGGCTCTAGCAGGTCTTTTTGTAGACTGTACTTGTGAAAGCCAACCTTCTAGCTGTGCATTCAGCTGCGGTCCTATAAAAAGACAAAGAGCGAAATTAGAGTTAGCAAAACGATGTAGCACAGATAACCAACCATACATGACACAAAGCCATCATTGAACCTATGTGGGACTAACATAGCTTAACGGGCAATAAGAGCGTCAGTTTGGATGTTAATGTTTGAACTTATCAACCTCTAGCAAGCCATATGAAGTTGAGTACTAATTAAACAAAATTTGCTTTTATCCATTTATTTATTGATTTACATTTTCATTCCAGAGCAACAATGTGATTTATAATTTGAGACAGTATTTAAACAAAATAAAACAGGAGGCAGAAGACTAAGTACATTAAGAGGAAATAATCGAGTCAATATAGTTCAGAGTACGAACACCTGCCTTAATCGCTGAAATGACATCCACAGAGGTAATCACTCCCACAACCAATGATCTTTTCTTCCATCACACACCAGCCCCCTATTCCCATGATCAAATTGATAACCAGTAACTAGTTACCTCAAAAAATCTCAATTTCAAGCACTCTCTTCACTTCCTCTCTTCCCAGTTCACTCCCAGAAATGAACTCCAACAACTTTTTCCACTGTCCTTCATACTCTGTCTTTCTTCGCTTCTTATCCAGCCTGAGACTCAAAAATCCATCACTATAATCATTCCCTTGCCTGTGGCCTCTCTCCTCTGCTCCTCTATCCCTCCATCATAGTCAAAACATAGTTTAAAACCAACTTTCCACTTAACACAGTACCTCCATCTGACCAGCTGCATAAGACTGAAAAGAAATACAACTATATCAACTTTAAAATTAAAACCATAAATTTCAGTAGACCCCTAACAATGCTCATAAATCCTATCACATTAACATAGTGAATTTGCTCTCACATTTTTAAGACAGAAAATTACCTCCTATCTTCTCCTTTTACTTTAAGCCTCAAATACCTCCCTCATCCCCTTCTCACTTCCAGGAGATAATCAATGCTTTTCATTTTGTCAAGGAAAAAGAAAAACAAACAGAAGTAGGGCAGCTACAAGAGTTTGAGGTTGCTGTGAACTAGGCTGATGCCAAGATACTCTAGCCCAAGCAAAAAAAAAAAGAAAAAGAAAAAAAGGCTTTCTCTTCCCAGATTTGGGAAAGCTGGTTGAGAGGGCGAAAAAGAAAAAAATATAAAAGAAGTAGAGCAGCCAACCATCTTGGTTTGCCCAGGACTTTCCTAGTTTTAGCACTGAAAGTCCTGCATCCTAGAAAATCTTTCAGTCCCAAGCAAACCTAGATGTTAGTCACCCTAAATTGAGAAGAGAACTACTTCATCTTCCCACCACTTATTCTGCTTTCCCTCCTGTTTCAATAAATTGTCCTTGCTCCTATCAAAAGCCAAACACACTATTTCTGCACTGGATCCCAATATTTTTTTCTTACTCAAGGATTCTGCTCCCGTAACTGTAACCAGTCTTCTGTACCAACTTGTCCATATTTACCTGATTGTTACCGTTAGCATGCAAATATGCAATACTAACAGTTCAGCAACTTCCTCATTATTCTCATCCCCTTTACAAGTTTTCCTGAAGAGATGTCCTCATTTCCTTTCCCCCTCACAACCCATTCTTTTTTCCTTTTTTTTAACACCCATTGTCTTTTAAAGCTTTTAATCATTAAATATTTAAACATTACAAAAGAATTTAGATAATATAACAAACATCCATGTACCCACAGACTAAATAAGTTAAATCATAACATTCTACCTTATTTACTTAAGATCTTCCTTTTATAAGAAATAAAAGAAGGCCATCGTGGTGGCTCACACCTGTAACCCTAGCACTCTGGGAGGATTGCTTGAGGTCAGGTGTTCAAGACCAGCCTGAGCAAACTCGAGACCCCCATCTCTACAGAAAAAATAGAAAAATTAGCCAGGCATAGTGGCATGCACCTGTAGTCCCAGCTATGTGGGAAGAGGATCACTTAAGCCCAGAAATTTGAGGTTGCCGTGAGCAACGATGATGCCACTGCACTCTACTAGCCTGGGCAACAGAGCAAAACTCTGTCTCCTCCCCAAAAAAAAAAAAAAAGTGGTTGGGGGCGGAAGGAAAGAAGGAGAGCAAGAGAGAAAAAGAGAGCGAGAGGAAGGGAGGAGAGAGGGGAGAGGGAGGGGAGGGGAGGGAAGGGAGAGAAAAGAACCCCCTGCTGAGTCCTTTATACATTCCCCTCCTTAGAGGTAATCACTTTCTGGTTTTGGTGTTTATCATTCTATTATACTTTTACTGTATATATAATATGTGGTATTGTTCTGCATGTTTTTAAATGTTATCTAAATATACTGTACATATCTTTCTCCGACTTGCTTAATAAATCCACATTGTTTTTAAAAATTATTCACATTGATATATGTTGCTCTGAGTCATTCATTTTCAATGCTATGTAGTGTTGTACTTCATGAATATACCAAAGTTTATTCACTCTCCTTATTCACAGATATTTTGGTTGTTTCCAATGTTTCACTGTTAATATACTTGAGTATCTTATGAACATCTGTTAGGAGTTTCTGTGGGATTTATCCAGAAGTTAAAGTACTGGATCATAGGGTATGCATATCTTCAACTCTACTACATTGCTAAATTGACCACTAAAGTAGCTGAATCAATTTACCCAACAGTATACAAATAAAACTAAAAATTAGAGGCTTAATTCTACCTGTACTCCCCCAACCCCTTTCCTTAGAGCATTTTCTTTAAAAAAAACTTGTAAATTCTTTCTCCACCTCCCTCTGAGATGTATGTAAATCTTTTTAAAGCTAAATAAGTCTCTAGCCAGCAACCCAAGGACTTAGTAGCCATCTCTTTCAAATATGATCATCAAGAGAGTGGCACCCCATCTCACAGTTTCTGCAGGAGGACAGGGCACCTAACTTCTGCAGACCACCTAGTTCCAAGTTGTAAAATTACTTCCTGTCATAAAGATATGAGTTTATTTTTCCTTTGGCTAAAGCCAATTAGCTCACACAAATGGTCACCCCAATTACCAAGTGAATTTAGGATAAGCTATGTGTGACAAATGATGTTATCAAGTCCTCTTAAGCACTATTAATTGTTTAACTTGAGAACATGTATGTAATGGCTTGCCTATACATAAGGGTGAGCCTTCTTTTGGTCTTTGCAATCTTTCAGCAGATTGCCTATGATACACATCATATTCTGGTTTAGTAACCTATTCAATAATAAAACTGTTTCCTTTTTCTTCTTCTTTTTTTTTTTTTTTTAGAGACAGGCTCTTGCTCTATTGCCCAGGCTGGAGTGCAGTGGCATGATCACAGCTCACTGCAGCCTTGAACTCCTGTCTTGGCCTCCTGAGTAGCTGTGACTACAGGCCCGTGCCACTACGTCCAGCTAATTTTTCCTATTTTTTCTAGAGACAGAGTCTCATTATGTTGCCCAGGCTGGTCTTGAACTCCTGACCTGAAGCAATCTTTCCACCTTGGCCTCCCAAAGTGCTGGGATTACAGGCATGAGCCACCACACCTGGCCTGCCTTTCCACCTTTGCAGAGATGTTTTCTGGGGGAAGCAGGAAATTTTGGTTTTAATTATATTTCCCCAACGACAGCAATAGTTAAAAGTTCCCATTCCCCTACATCCTCATCAGTATTTGATAATGTTAGAATTTTTAGTTTTTGCTGGTTTGACAGATATGAAATGGTATTCCTTGGGTTTTTCTAAAATTTGTATTTCACTAATATCCATTGAGATTAAGCATCTACTGATTTGGAACTCCTTCTGTATGTACTTAGGAACCTACACATAAACAAGTCAGTTTAAAATGGACAGCCATCTTTAAACTGACGAAGTACCCAAAAAAAGCCTGATTCAGTGATTAAACTACGTAGTTTATCTTAAAAATTTAAGAACAGTTACCAAAAAACTTATACAAAATAATCACATTATTAACTCAAGGAAAAGTAATTCCTATTCTCAAAATAAATGAAATTTTTAGCTGACTAATAAATTTCATATTAACTTAAGTACAGTCACATGCTGTATCATGACATTTTGGTCAACAATGAACCACAAATGCAACAGTGGTCCCATAAGATTATAAAACCATATTTTTACTGTACCTTTTCTGTGTTTAGATAGATAAATACTTACCACTGTGTTACAACTACCTACAATATTCAGTATAGTAATATGTTGTACTGGCTTGTAGCCTAGGATCAATATGCTACACCACATAGCCTAGGTATATGGTAGGCCATACCATCTAGGTTTGTGTAAGTATACTCTATGTTCACACAACGAATTCACCTAATAGTGCGTTTTTCAGAATGTATTCCCATCTCTAAGTATTTCCACAATACAGGAAGTTTTTACAAAACAAATGTGAAAAACAGATAAAAGCAAAGAAAATATCTCTAAATTCAGCCACTCTAATGCCACTAACTTCACTGTTTTTAAGCACTAACCCAAGTTTTTTCCTATCGCTACCTCTGTAAAAGGACCAATTTCTTCATAAGGATGCTAAAGGTTAAGAGCGAAACTCTAAGTTTCTCTCTTATCTTTGAATAAGATAATTAAGCATACGTATTTATTACATACTTTTGTCAAGTAAAAATGTGAATTTGAGTTTCTTCCACAGACTAGCTTATACTTAGCAATGTGGTATCCTTGATACATGAAGTTGATGTAGAATACTTGTTTTGTTTTTCAAATACCACCAGATTTGAAGGCACACTGATAAATGGAAAAAGCAAAAGCATTGTTAAATCCTAGCAAAACTACTTCATGTTTGTGTGTCCTTGCCCTTAGAGGAATAAATGAGCACTTACTTCTTTGGATAAAATAGTAAACATAGGTTCCCAAAGGATCTATACTAAGGTATTTCCTCAAGAAACAGACAATAAATAATGTGCTATAGGAAATTCAATAACACTTCTATTTGAATCCCACTTGAACTAAACAACATTTCCCAAGTTTATTTGCATAGTGACAAAACCACAGAGATACTAAATACACACATACACACACCCCTGCTTT